CTGGTCAAGGATGTGGTGGCTTGTATTCTCTTTTTCTTTGGGCTGGTGTAGTTTAAGATCAGCAGTCGAGTTTGTCTCTTCCCTTCGCTTGTTTTGATTCGCAGTTTCATTGTGAGTCTTCCAACGGTTTCACTCAGACGAAGCTAGTCTTCCTTGATTTGATCAATCCGGGTTGCTTTCTTCTCTGTTTCATCGTCTCCGCCTCCCTTTACTTTCGTTTTCATGGAAGATTGTGTGGTGGTCAGTTTCTTGGAGTTGTCATACCTTTTCCATTGCTTAGGTTATCTGATTGATTGGTTTTGGTTGTGATGTGGGTTGGATGAATTGCACTTGTGGCTTCACCGGGATCTATGGTTATCTTGGGAAGAGGATTAAGCAAGAGATTCATTTTTGCCTTCTCTCCAACCAGTTTTGTGCTTACATGAACATATGCATGTGGAGGACATGAGAAACTGTATATGGCGTATCCTCAATTTTGGCTACGAGTAGAGTTCATTGGAATATGCCTTGATAAAACCAATCTCTTTGGTCATTGGAGACCGTTCGTGGCTGACACGAAATCATGATGTTATGGAGATTGTGTGTTGTCTTAATCAAGATCAACTTGTTCAGTTATACATTGATGGTCAGTTGTTCTGTTACTCTCTTGAGCATTATCATATCACCTATTGGTGAATGCAGGAAGGATCTAATGCTCGCTTCTTCTCATGAGAATGATCTTTCTCTTTTATGCTATGGTACCTACTGGTATCTCTATGTTTTTTATTACATGTACGGTTCATTACGTTTCTCTTTCATTAGGAAATGGTGCCTAGAATGTTGTATTACTGCATTTGGTGTTAAATGAGATTACCAGCGTTAAAAAAAATGATAGATTGGATAAATTTACAATAATTAATTTAATAATTAAAAATTGTCAAAATATATATAACAGAATTAATTTAAATAAATTATAAATCTCTCTTATTAAAACAAAAAAAATATTAATTAACCCATTTTTGTAGAATTTTAACTTTAATACACATTTAATTAATTATTAAGTAACTATGTAAAGAATATTATACTAGTATCTATGTTTCCAAATAACACAATAGTTAAGTTTATATCCAAACAATATAAAACTTAAATCTCATGTTTTAATAATGTTTTATCAATTTCTTTTCAAATTATTTAATAAACCAGATAATCGACTAAAATATTCGAATAATTTATGAAAATGGAAAATAAATATTAACTTACTTTTTCAAATTTGGATACTAGAAAATAATTTCAATCAATATAAAATCAATTAAAATAATGGATTTTTATTTATATTTTCATAAATAAAATTACATTCATTTATATTTAAATAAATTTTTATATTACATTAAAAGTGGTATAATCTAATTGTATACATAAAATGCAATAAATTGACATATAATTTTTTAATTAAAAATTAAGAAAATATATCATATAATTAATCATATAAATTATAGATATTTTATTAAAAACTATAAGGAAAAGAATTGAAATATTTAAAAAATTAAATAAAATAATATCTTATACATATATTATTATTTGAATATACATTGAAAATAGCTCTATTGTACAATAAATATAATAACAAAAGCATACATTGTCTGAAGATAAATGCTTAACACTAATTATGAAAAACAAATATAAACTGATTATGATATGAAACAAATTATTAGCAAGATAACCTAAATAAAACAATTATAATAATGATAATTAAGTCGTATAAAATAATTATTATGCAACTAAAATCTTTCTTGATATAAAAAATTCAGATAACAAAAAAATATTAAAACACACAATTTGTTAAAAAAAAATAAGTTAATTATAAATTTATGTTTAATCGAATAAAAATAAAATTTGCGAAGATATCAACATAACTTAGTAAGACAGCCCCGGAAAACATGTGAAATTGGTTATGTAATAAGAGTGGACCATTACCGAAACAAGTCATCAAATCTTTGAAACGGTGAGGCCATCACAAGAGGAATTTCAGAAATGATAGCTTAACACATTTAGTTAAACATTGTTGCCAATTCAACTTTAAACCAATATAGTTCTTGACTATAAATATTTTCCCTAATTAGTTTATAAGAAGTGGACCATTATTAAAAAATTCTGTATCTTAGCACTATCTAATATCTATAGCATGGACCACCATTTAATTTGCCAGCCCTATTCATTTTGACATTTTTGTTATTAATTGTTTTCATCAAATACTGCATATATTCAAAACGTGTTTCATGCATGGTATTTGCTCATAGTTTCTATCAAAAGTATATATATATATATATATATATTAAACCATAGTATATATATATATACTTTTGATACTTTTGAAAAAACAAAATGTATATATTGAAACATTATATATATATATATACATTTTGTCTTTTCTAATTTGCTAATAGTATTCTATCATTTTATATTACAGAAGTACGTACCTACTCTTAATCTTAGAGTTTAATTGGGTGTCTAAACTTAACTAATCATTTCCTAAAATTTTAATATTAGAGTTTAAATGTTTGATTACATGTGGTTTGTAAACCATGCCTTGGTGCATTTGATCATAGAGTTTAAATGGATATTTCCATGCAATCGCCCATGTGATGTATATCATACACAATGTTTTCTAAAAAAAATTATAAATAAATTAAACAAAAACGTATTCATACATAATTTTTTTTGTTCAAAGGGAAAATCTTATGTCCTAACCTCCAAGTTTGGAATCAGTTTTTAAAAATTATAGTTAAAAAAAACCATCAAAGATATAATTTAAAATTGAAACACACAAAAACATCTTAGAATATCATTAAGCTACAAACATTTTGATTATTCATGCATACAATTTAAACCATAGTTTGTAAGAAAAAACTTCTTAATGATTTGGTATAGCTCAAATTCAAATTCAAAATGTTCCATCAATAAGAAACACATTTTATTATATGGATCACCATTTGTATCCATCAGATTATAATGTTTATCTCTGATAATAGTGTTTTACCATCTTAAAATGAACTTCATTTCTATTAAAATTTGTAGAATCATCAAAACAAACTTCACAAATCTTCGTTTTTATCAAAATATGTAGGATCATCAAAACCAAGTTCACATTGATATATAAACAACTTAAAATGTGATGACTATTATATCAATCCGTTGGAAACTAAACCATAACCATTATCAAACAAAGTTAAGAAAATAGGTGCATAACATAACTGTTTGTGACATTTTGAAATATTATACATATATAATCAGTGGCGGACCTACGTGAGTAGAGAGGATGTTACTTGCAACCTCTTAAATATTGATAAATATATTTTTTTGTTTTGTTAACTATTAAGATACCACTTGTTCTGTTGGTAAAATATCGTTTATGACATTCAACAACCAGGCTTCGATTCCTATTGTTGACACTTTTATTTTTTTTTCATATTTGACACATGTTTAATTGAATTCTGGGTCCGCCACTATATATAATAACAATGTTACATGTATTAAACCAAAAGAGAAGACGTTACATGTAATCAACCAACATGATGACAAAACAATATTTGTGCATAATGTAATATTGAAGGTTGTCATTACCTTAATTCAGATGTATGTAGAAAAATATTCATACATACATTTTTTGTTAATAAGGAACATCTCTAGGTTTATGTCATTATCTCTAAGCTTGAAATCAGTTTTTAAAAATTCTAGTTAAGAAAATCATCAAAGATTATTTAAACACACAAAAAAATTCTTAGACTATCACTAAACTACCAACATTTTTTATTATTCATACATACAGTTTAAACCATAGTTTATAACAAAAAACAATGCCTTAGTGATTTGATATTTACTCAAATTCAAATCCAAATTGTTCCATTAATAAGAAACACATCTTATTATATGGATCACCATATGTATCTATTAGATTATAATATGTTTCTTTCTGATAATACTGTCTTACCATCTCAAAATGATCATCATTTATATCAAACTTTGTAGAATTATCAAAACAAACTTCACACATCGTTATTTCTATCAAAATTTGTAGGATAATCAAAATAAAGTTCACACTATTATATAATCAACTTAAAATGTGATGACTATTATATCAATTAGTTGAAAATTAAAACCATAACCATTATCCATGACACATTCATCAAAGACTATAACACTCACCACTCTTTGTGAATGTAATTGGCGTGTAGACGACTTGAATGATTAGAAAAAATGTTGTAATTAACAAAACGATGTCAAAGTTAGACCAATAAATACAAAATAGCATGAGTACTTGAGTAATAAAATATTAGGGAGAAACTATATTGTTTCCACTTCTTACAAAAAAAAATATAAATTTGTTTCTTTGTTAACAACTTATTCTTTGTTTTCTTTATCTATTGAACTGAAAACACTTCATCACTATATAATTGTGACATAACAAACTGTCATTTTGAACCATATAAAATTGGGGACTACTAGCATAGAGAGTCAACTCAGATCATGGTTCTAGAGAACCTATGTACCTAAGAAAGTGATTATAATACAAATACGAAGGTTACATGCCGTAAGAATGTTTTTGATCTATGTCGGTCCATGCACAATTATTTATTTTAGTAGTATTTGAATACCACAAGAACTTATTCTTCTTCGAATATTAAACATGGTTTTAATTCGAAGAAGACTTGTTCAAATTTAATTATCAATAACTAATGACGTAGGGAATGTAATGTGGCAGGGAATGTAATGAAATCCTCGTTACCTTACGGTTATACAGCATAAAACAATAATCATAAGGAAGAAGTGCTTAGAAAATGAAAATTATACTGAAAATCTCCTATTACACACAAGATTAGAATCTCCTATAAAATAAAAATAACAAAAGGAAGTAGCAAATAAAGTTATTAACCAAAAAGACATAACATGATCATCAAACCTGTTCATTGTCTACATAAAGTCAGTTTTGCAGTTTCACTCACTTATTATGTCATCATCTAACTTCAGTTTTTCTCCACTCTGTTCATAGCCAGATCAGTCCACAGGTTACCACTACCCGCTTCACTCCTCCTCAAACCCATACCCGAATCCCAACCCGACCCGTCGAGCATGATCCCACCATGACCCAGCTGCATATTCGACGCCAAAAGTGAGCTGAAACTCCCACCACCACCACCACCACCCATCTCCACACCTTTCATGTCTTGGTCTCCCATCCGAAACCCGTATAGCATCCGGGTCGGATCCGTATCCGGTTTGGTCCCGTTTTGTGAGTTAGGATCCGGATCGGGGTTCTTGATCTTCTTGTTGTTGGAGGAAGGAGAAGTAGAGTATGAGGTTGATCGTTTTGAGCTTTTGCGAGTACCTCCACCTACGGGGACGTTACGGAGAGCCCCGCCTTTGGTCCAGTAACGACGGCAGCTTTTGCAATAGTGACGTGGCTGTGAGAGATTGTAGTTGTTGTAGTAACAGAATTTTGTGTTTGGTGAGTCACAGCGTGGACAGTTTAGCTGTTCTTGAACCGGAAACTGAGGTTGTTGTTGTTGTTGTTTTGACATCATCGAATGGTAATAAGCTGATGGATCCTGCATTTCTTCTTCTCCTTTTTATGAAAGACAGATCGAATTTTTGGAGATGGTTAGAGAGTTAGAGAGGTAAGAGAGAGTGATTTTTTTGAGACTATTATAATTTTATAGAGAGGTTGACATATAAATAAGACAATTTTTACACTTACTCTCTCTACAGATGATGAAGAGAGAGAGAGAGAGTGGAGCAGAGCAGAGAGGGGAAGAGTGTTTTGGGGTAAAGTCTTAACGACGAGCAGACAAGCTTTGGGAGCTGTGGTGTGTGTGAGTGTGACCAGTCTTATAGGGCAACCTAATTACAGAAGATTAGCGGCTTCCGTTATTGTCTTCCTTGCGATTATTATTTTTTTGTGTAATACTTATGCTAACTAATTATTAATTTGTATTCGTTTTTTAATTAGATGACAAGAGCGTGGTGTTGAAAGTTTCCATTGACTTGTTCACTTATTTCAACTAATATCATCATAGAGTTGGTTTTGTTTGATGTCATTCTGTCGGAGGAATCAAAAAGAGTTTTAAATTTGAATTTGTTTGAGAGAATTTGGCTAAATTTTGTGATATTTTTCTCTCTCTAATTATCCTAGTGTTTTCGAAATTTTGATAAATAGCAAAAAAAAAGTTGATGTTTGAAATGATTTCAATTTGTTGTTGCTAATCTTTATTTTATGTGAAAACACGTATACTACTAACTATAAACTCTACAAATCAAGAAGACTAAAAGTTTTAACCATTATGAATTTGTAAAGGCAAATAACGTTAGAAAACTGGTTTTTGTATAAATCGAGGATGTGATAACTTTTTCCAACAAATTTGGATACGCCTGTCTTTGTGCCAAGATGGTTATTTGGCTTCATATGTTTAGACAATATTGATTCTACGTATCCTTTTGTTTTCTTATATTCGTGCCTACATTTAACCCCAAAAACAAATACTATTGCCTTTTCTTTTTGATGGCTAAAAGAAGAGTTTGTAACTATCTTTCCATATAAATTTTCAATATCGTCACGTCGATATCAATAACTTTTACTCTCAAACATTTTACTTTGTAGTACAATGCATCTCAAATTCTTTTTGCTATAAAATATAATTAAATTAGAAGTAAATAACTAATCCAGTTAGCAGCAAATCAAACGTGATTAGCATCTAATATAGTATTTTAGTATCTAAGGAAAAAAATACCAATCAGTCAATCAATTTAGTGCCATCATTTCATAAAACCCACTTTGGCTCATGAATCAGTAGACAAATAGGTACTTCGCGTTCTTGTGAAGCAAGTATGTGCACTCGATGAAGAGAAAGAGATCATTACACTCAAAAGTCGAATCACAGACGTTGATTTTACATTATTTAGAATAATGAATCGAAGCCGTCCGTGTGTCGAGGAAACAGGTTAAGGATATTGTCGTAGCGTTAAGCTGCCGTAAGAGCTGACAATTTGGCAGTTCGTGTGTTCTGTTTCGCCAACACGTGGGACAAACAGTCCACTTCAATCTTGATTCCCCTATCATCGCGTCATTTCTACGGCTACGATTTGTGGCTGCGCCTTGACGCATGGACAGCTTTGAGAAGAATATATTTACTTGATTATATGTGTTTACAATAAATAAACTGAAGAGCCTTCGAATATGTGTGTTTTTCAATAAATAAACTGAAATAATAAAATTTCCTAGAATTTTCTAGCTAATTAACTTGATAGGACATCTCAAACATAATAAACTGAAATATTCTGTAACTACAAATATAGTTGCTAAATCGTTTACATCACATAAACACATTTCTCTTAAAATGATTGTTAATACGAAATAAAAAAGTTCTGTTATAGCCATTTATGTACTCTATAAACTCCAACATTGTGTTGGGTTGTGTTTTGAATTACATGTTTGTGGAACAAAGATAATAGTAAATTTGTTGGAAAGTAGTTTACATCTATTGAATTTTTTTTGGTGTTAGGATGTTGCCTACTCCATTGACATATATATGTCTTCATTAAGTCTAAAACATTTTCTTACGGAGACCATATCTGAATAATGGATAACTTTCTTACTGCGTATCCTTATGATGATGTGTTTTGAAGGAATGCATCATCAAAATCATTTTTCTAAAGCAAAAAGAAAAAATAATAGGGTGAAAATAATGTATTTGTTTTAAAGTCAGAAACGACAAACAAGAAGAAAGATTTAAACAAAAAACAACAGACAGAACTTAATAAAACATAGTATCAAATTTACTCTTAAAATAGTTCCACGAATATATCCAAAATAAACAACTCTCACAACAAGTAATATGAGAGAAAAACTACAAATCACGATTTTTCTTCTAATCGGATTCCCCTTTCCTGGTTCCTGTCCAACCATTTTTTTAAGTTATCCAGACAGAAAACCAGTTAAAGCTTCTAACAGAAAACGGTGGACTTGTTTTAGCTCTTGTGTAATGAAAGAAAAGAAAATCATTACCAATTGCTATGTCCAGCCATTTCCTCAAATTCAAAAAAAAAAAGGTCAAAGGATGATACAAACAAAACAAAGAGAGCATATAAAGGATATGAAGTTGCTGCTGCTGCTGATGTTACATAAAGCATCTATGATACTTCAGTTTCGCAAGTAGCAACCAAGCTTCTTTCTCCTTTTGAGTATGTTTACTTTTTTCTTCAAGCATAGTACATGTACAAGCTGTTGGCAGCAGCGCAAGCGATCGAGTTTTCTGTTGGATGCCATGCGAGATGCAGCAACTTGGATGTATGGTCAAAAGAATTACCATTCCCATCGCCTCCTGGACTCTCTGCACCTGTTACCATTTTTAGAAAGTACTCATTTACCTCTTCTATATATGCTCAATTAATCTTATGCTAAAGACATAGGGATAAAATTCACTGACCTCTTCTAACCACGCGTGTTATACTGCTTAACGATGGTCTTGATGGCCTCGCAGGAGTTGTAACTTGTCTCCTATAAGTTTTAACAACATATTGTATCTGATGTGAACACTTTGACTAATGAATAAATTAGAGAAGGAAGATTCATGCATCAGTTTGTTACCTCATTGGGTTTCTGCTAGCTTCCAAGGTTGTAGTTTCTGTAATTCCCGGGGAAACACCAAACACACGGAAGAGATTGCTGGAAACAAAGTTTAAAGTGGGGGCAAGCTTATGATAAGAAAACTCTTAAACACAATAAAATTGTAGCAAAAGAGACATACCTGTAAGAACCTGTAGCCACACGCAACCAATCCCCACTTAGACAACACTCAAACTTATCGAAGATGGAATCATTTTCATATAAATCACAGAGCTGGAGATGGTAAAAAAATGTAGTAATCATCAGTTTTTAATGCAATAGAGTCTGCTGATGCAACTCTATCAAAGTAGATGAAACTGACCTTTGGTCTTAAATGTTCGTGAACATGGTACGTTGATACTGGACCAGAGTCCATGTTGATGTCCCATAACTAACATGTATAAACATAACCATGAATTCAGTATTACTAATAACTGCAACCGCATGACACATAATCAATGCTCTAAGATATCATATGGACCTTAAGCGTCATATAGTCACGGCTAAGTATATATCTTCCTCCTTTAGCAAATTTTATGTCTGAAACTGAAGCAATTATCTCAGTGAAAAATGATCTAGAAGTTGTTATCGCTGTGTCTTCAAACCTACAAAAAAAACAACCAATGTTAAGACCTGTGCTGTTGCAACAAGTCATATAAACAAACACTACAACTACCAGTCTGAAGACTTACAATTTGGAATGTGAGTCACATAAAGCTGATTGTCTCAGATCAATCAGGCGAATTGAACCTTTCGAACTGCTGTACGCTAAGGTATTGCAATGTGTAGGATGAAACTCGGCTGATGTGATAACCTCTGCAACAACGAGTAGTGTAAATATTGCAGCTCAAGTTAACTCCCCACTCCAGCTCAAAAATTTTACTTCAAAAAATGCAGCTTACCAGTTAGATCTTCCATATTAGCAGGCTTGACGTCAACAATGTTAAAACTTTGATTGCTTATCTCCAAGTTCCAGAGATTAATTCGCAAATCGTCAGCAGATATAAATGTCTCACCGTCACTTGAATATTTTTTTAGCAAAATCACCAGAAGAAGAACATGGTCAATGCAAATAAGAGGAAGGAAAGCAACTATGTGATGTGACCAAAAGGATGGAACACCTACCTATTGTTTGAGATTGAATTGATATGATAATCATGAGCATGAGTGTACACTCTTCGACATCTAGCCACAGGGCTAGTCTCAAGGCTAGTTTTTACCTGTAGGTTGTAAATGAAATATTAGACTAAGAAACTCACAGAAAATTTGAAGCTCAAGAACCAAAATAACCCTATGATGCGAGTAATATTGTTTCAGAACTAACTACATGACAATCCATGCTTAGAGATCATGCATTCAAGTTACTGAAACTAAGATCTAGGCTAACCAAAACGGTAAAGAGAGAACAAAGAGTAGTCCAGAGTCAACTCTACCACAGGTAACTGCAGCGATGGGATGCCTCCTGGAGGAAATGAGTAATCATTACTTAAATAGTTGTTTAATTTTTCAGGTGATCCTCCGTTAGTGAGACATGAATCTGTAACATTTGAATCACTTGAGCTTGAGACACTTCCATTTCCTAGAGGTCTGGAAGAATCTGTATTTATGTCACAAATTTTCTTGATCTTCTTCTCTTGCACCTGTTTAAATATTCAACAAGAAAAATTAATTCAGAAACAATATCTAAAGAGAAAAAAAATCAAAGAATAAGACCTTTCAGAGTTTCTCTAACATATATCCGTCTAAACTAATCATTACATTCAGGATGCTAACCAACATTGTCGTTGCCAACGTTCTAAAGACTGTTCGTAAGGAACGGTTATACAGTCATATGCCATAAACGTCAAGACACAATGCAGTGTAGACAAACAGCTCTAGTCAAATCATTCAGAGGCCATGTCACGAAATAAAGGAATCTTCTCACCTTCCAAAACTTGATGGTTTTATCATTTGTTGAAAGGAGAAAAAGAGCACCATTGGCTGTTTGAGACCATCTAATTTTGTTGATTTTTTCCTCTATCTCCAAACTCTTGAGGTAATCAAACTGGTAGACAAGGTTCACAGAGAAGTGAAAAATCAAATCAAAGATATAACCTATGTTGTACGGAAGTAGCAAAGAAAGTAAAAGAGATACCTCAGGTTCATGACTTTGAAACTCAGTTTTATAACGAAACTCCGGGTGTCTCACTGGATAATCTGTTCCTTCTAGATCCTTTCTAGCTCCACTAGCCTGTGAATACCATCATAACATCAGAAAAAAAAAACATAACAATCTCATCTTTGCATATAGGAAACAAGAGCATACATTTTTGAAATCTGTCCTCTCAAACAGAACAACACGCCCACCACGGTCCCCAGTAGCAAGATAATCGCCGGATTTATCAAACTCAATCGCTGAGATTATATCAACTGCAGAGGAAACAGCAGCTACAGTTCAAATTTAGATAAAAACATCATTACATAAATGTGATCACAATGCAATCTTGCAACTCATTGATTTTTTTTCAAACTTAAACAACCTTGTTTGAGCATCCTTAACCAAACAATCAGAAGAAAAAAAACTACCCTTGCAACACAAGAAACTTAATAGATCTACTAAGCACACAGAGATTAAACCCCAATCTCAAATCAGGTGGAGATTAGATCCAGTGGCGAGCTTAAAGAGAAAGCACAAAGTAAACCGACCTTCTTGAACTTCTTCACCAGCGCTTCTTTCACCAAAGACCTGAGAGAATCTCCAATCCAAAGGCCCTGACGAAGCTCCGACATCATCACCACCACCACTCTTCATCTTCTCCTCTCTCTCGCTCTCAGAGACGCTCTTGTTTCTTCACTCTTCAGATTAACATCAGAAGAAATTAGAAAGAAAGAAGATCAGTAATCGCCAGACTAGAGCTTCCAAGATTTACTGATCACTCTATTAGATCAATCAGTATCACAAAGATTCCCAGATTTCGACAAACCAAACACACCACTCTTGTCTCTCTGTCTTTGTGAAAAGGTTAAAATCGGAATTTTGAAGAAAGAAACGGCTTGTCGTTTTTATACGAGTTTGGAAGTCTATGCTAGAGTCACGTGCGGTTACGTGGAGCTCTATCAAAGTTTATAAAGTATTGGACTTTGTGGTTAACTTTTGGGCCTTTGATTATACATTATACTTTGATTTATTAACGTTATAAAATGGTGTGTGATTATCTCTTTTTTGTCAACCTACCATATTATTAAGCCCATTCCCTGAAAAATACACGAAGTCGTGAGCCTATTACAACAATCATAACACATGTACCATGTATTCAACTTTAGAGTAAAAAGTAATATTTCTATATATCTATATCTATCTACATCTACTCTATTATTTTCAGACCCAAAAGGTATTTAATATTTTTAACAAAACAAAATTATCTATTATTAATCATTTATTTAAATCATGTACTTTAAAACATGTTAATATATTTTTTTAATTTTAAATAACAATCACTTTGTTTTGATAAATTTCAATGGTAACTTTTAAATAATTTATTGTTTTATTTTTCTTAAATAATTTACTGATTAAAAAAATGTAAAGCAAAACCAAAAACCAAATCTAAAAACTAAAATCCAAAACCAAAAGCTGAAACACATGTTATATTTTTTGCTTTGTTTATTTACAAAATAAACTATTTCAAATTTTTTTTAAAAAAATTGTTATCATCTTTTCAGTTTTAAATTAGATCTTCAATTATTTGAGATTTGTTTGTTGGTAATATTAGTTCAAACTAACTCAGCGGATTTAAAATTAAAAACCCAAACCAAAAACTGAAAAGGAAAAGTAGAAACTTAAAAACTAAAAACCAAAAAACTAAAATCTAAAAATAAAAACTAAAACTAAAAACTAATAAAAACAATCATCACCACAAATTTTGGTGAACTGATTTTATATCAAAATACTCTTTAAAGTAAGACAAAACCCAATTATATAATTTTCTAATCATAAAAAAATTTTGCGTTTTCAAGCGCGGGTCAAAATCTAGTATTCTATTAAAATAGAATCATTTTTTTTATCTACTCATACAAGTTGTCATTTAAATTTAGACCTTTTCTAGAGTGTTACAAATAATACAAGTTATATAGTTGATTGAACCGCATTACTTAAAGTAAACCGGCGGTTATTTATGGAATAGAGTTTTGGGCTTACTTTTGTTTTTAGGACATTTAATTGTTTGGTTTTTTGGCTTAGTTTTAAAGAAAAACTCCAAAAAACATAAAATAAACTTTCCACTTTAATAAATCAAAAATCAATTACTATTTTTAGGTCCAAAAATATTTAATATTTCAACAAAACAAAATTATCTATTATTAATCACTTATTTAAATCATGTACTTTAAAACATGTTAATATTTTTTAAAGTACATGATTTAAATAAGTGATTAATAATAGATAATTTTGTTTTGTTGAAAATATTAAATATTTTTTATTTTAAATAAAAATCACTCTATCTTGATAAATTTAATGGTAACTTTTAAATAATTTATTGTTTTATTTTTCTTAAATAATTTACAGATTTTTAAAAAAATATAAAGCAAAACCAAAAACCAAATCTAAAAACTAAAATCCAAAACCAAAAGGTGAAAACGCATGTTATATTTTTGTTTTTTTTATTTACAAAATAAACTATTTCAAAATTTTTAGAAAATTATTTTGTCATCTTTTCAGTTTTAAATTACATTTTCGATTAATTGAGATTTGTTTGTTGGTAATATCAGTTCAAACTAACTCAGCGGGTCTAAAAATTAAAAACTCAAACCAAAAGCTGAAAATCAAAAATAGAAACTTAAAAACTAAAAACCAAAAACCAAAATTTAAAACAAAATAAAAACTGAAACTAAAAACTAATGAAAAACAACTATCACCACAAATTTTGGTAAACTAATTTTATACCAAAACATTCTTTAAATTAAGACAAATCCTAATTATATAAATTTTTAATCATAAAAAATTTCTGCGCTTTTTAAGCGCGGGCCAAAATCTAGTTTCTTTTTATAATAGAGTAACTCTATTATCAAAACAAATGTACTTCTATAATAAAATTAGGACAATTCTCTAAAATAGTCATCTTTTAAGTTTCTATCACAAAAATAGTCCTCAAAAATTAAAATGACCAAAATAGCACTTTTTATTTTGAAAATTTTAAGTTTTCTTAATTTTTTAAAATTCGAAACCCAATCCCCAAAACCACACTCGTCAACTCTAAACAAAAAAATCTAGGATTAGTTAACCCAAGAGGTATAAATGTATATTTAATAAAACATTTAAGTGTTATTTTGATCATTTTAATTGTTAAAATCTATATTTGTGATATAAGCTTTTTTAGATATATCTTAGTCATTTCTCTAAAATTAATCTATTGTTGAGAATTCTAATCTTACGTGTAATTTAGTTAAATTTTTACAAGCTAACAATATTGATGACTGGGCAATGCGATTTGGATATGAAACGGTTTAATTAGTGCTCAACTAAAAACTTTTGAACCTTCAATCCACCTCGACGCAAGAGATAAATGGTTATCTAATATTTGATCCCCTCAAATATATCGTCTCCTAATATGCTCCATCCACCTACAATTCTGATTTAAATCCTTATCTCATTATTAATATATTTGTGGCAATTCATCAAGTAGAAATTCACACCGCATCGATTCTAACTCCTCTAAGAGCATCTCCAAAAGACACTCTATAACTTCAAATATGAAGTTTTTGGTTCTGCAAAAAGGAACTCTAAAACTTCAAATTTGAAGTTTTGAGTAGTGAAACTTCAAATATAGAGTGTCACTACTCAAAACTTCAAATTTGAAGTTTCATATTTTATTTGCATTTAGGTCCTTACAATTATACATTATATTTATAATTCTTATATATTTTATGGTTTTATCATTTTAATTCTTACAAATTTCTATCTCATAAATATTTCAATTTTTTTTCATAAATTTAAATTTTACATATATTTTTTATTTTTTTTAAAACAACAAGATAAGATTTAATATAGTGAAATTAAAGCTAGACAAAAACAATATTACAAGAATTAATGTGGTATTTTATTATAGTTTAATATTTAATTATATATTTCCATTAATAATTTCATATTTTAGTTTAACATTTTATCCTTTAATATTGCTGTAATATATTTATATATGTGTTAGTTATTTATAAAAATTATATGAATTTTAACTAGTTATGACAAATATAAGGACCATAATATAAAATACAAATAGTTTTAAAGGTTGGTTTGAAGTTTTGCTTTTGGAGTATAACACCTACAAACTTCATATATAGAGTTTTGCAAACTCTAAAATAGAGTGTCTTTTTGGAGATGCTCTAATGTAAGGCCTCATTAATTATTTTATGTAGATTATTGATGCACTTGACGTTCTTCGAATCCAAGACCTCACCTTTTAACAATTTGTTTTGTGAAGAGTTGTTAAAAGATGAGGTTTTGGGTTCAAGTAATATCAAGTACATCGATAACTTATCGATGGATGTGGAGACAGTTTCTTTCCACAATGAGAAGTTAAGGTCGGTGCAATTCAACGTTGAGAACCTAGGATCCGTAGGACAGACTGTCACAATATTTTTGCTTCATGTTTCTTTGTTTAGATCCTATCTCGTTTTCTTTACAAACACTAGATAAATAAGCATCGTCCCCCGATGCACAAACACATTACCGATGCATTTTCAGTAATTTACATATGAAAATAATTAACTTACTAGAATATGTTGCACAAACGACAACAACCCGTTATAGGCTGGCCTGGACATCCTCAGTATTTGGGATCGGACTCTTGCTCCAGTATCAGATCCATGGGTGAATACTAATTACTCTATAACAACTCACGTTTCCTTCTTTCAAAAGAGTCTATATGTTTTCACGAACTCGGTTATATATGCGCTTCCGTCAGGATCTAGTCCAATTGCTAATTCGGTTTTTGCAAAGGCATAGCTTCAAATAAATGGACATATAATTGATCAATCATCAAGACATGGGATACAAGTTTGATGTACGCATGTGTTTATGGGATCAACTAATAACTTTATTTTAAGAAAGTCCCGGACGGACTAGACAAACGTCCAGATCACGGTCTAATTGGATGTTTATGTTGTATTGTTAACGGAGTGATGCTGAACATATATATGTATTATGTAAATGTGATGTATGGATAATGAACGTACGTTGCCACCAAAGAATATATATTAATTAATATATATATATATATATATATGATATATGTGTAGGAATTCATACCGGTTTATAACGATTTATAAATCAACTTATGAATTCTATTTGCCTAGATCTCATGCAAATACTAAATTAAATCTAGATCTTAGGGTTTCGAATATACCTGGTTATTCGCAGCGGAAAGATAAATAAACCAAATCGAGATTTCAAGCACTCCAAATGTCGTGCCTCTACCGGTATCCACACGCACACAAACTGGATCAATACGGGATGCTAGTACCGTCGAGATCTAATCTCAGAAACCCTGATGAACTCTTTGTTGCTTGCACAAGAAGAAAACAATTTTCTTCTTCACACCTTTACGTCTCCGTTGCAAAAGTGCGGCCAGCCAAAAATCCTTAAGTGCATCAAAATTAAGCAAGACTTTATATATACGTATACTAATGGACGTGACCTAATGTTGTTAGACATTATAATGGACTAAGCCCAACTTGTTTAGTCTCTTAATCACATTAAGAAACTCACGTCCAAGTCCAAGTATATAATACATATTATATATATATCACATATATATAATATTTATATAAAACTTTAGCTTATTTATTTTCCAGTTTGTTTAGGTGTGTGACCCTGTAGGATCATATAATATTAGCAATGAATTCTCAATTCATAGATTATAAGCGGTTTCTAGCAAAACATTATAACCACCCAATATTATATGATTGTCGAACCTCGACGTTACGACTTTCACAAGAGTAAATACAAATGATTTTAGGACATTCCC